TGAACGGAGAGTGTGTGTACGGTTGTATGCTCAATAACGATGTTTTTATGAATACAAATGTACGTGAAAATTGGTGTAAATTTAAACCAGATTGTAATTCAACTCAAAAATAAATAGTTTACACCACAACCAAAACAAATGAACAAAAAAGTGAATGTGTGCACCAGAAACACCTTGCCCTTAATGTAACATTATCTTACATCTAAGTGTGGGGATACAGAAAAATAGAAACTTCATAAGTTTTGAGTTTCAGAGGTTTATCCAATATCAATAAACTGAAATATATTTTGTATTTTGAAGGTAAACCGTACCAAAATGTATTCCAGCTACAACTGAGGACATGAACTTAAATATGTTGACCTTCCCAATCTCAAATCGGGAACAAGAACTGATCGATCGTAAGATAGTAGGTATTGCTTTAGGCTCGTCGCCAAGGTATGCTTTCTGATAGAAGGACAGTAGTTACATGTAGGACTTCTAGCATTCCTTGTCATAACGGTAACGGTTAGACTAAACTCTATAGATCCTGAACCAATAACTAGTTCCTGTACACTTTGTTGAGCAGCGGATCACCTAGATGTGGTGATGGGGGTCGGAATTTGGGTGAGGATGGGGTGTTGGCTAGCGTGTGCTCATCCAGAGAAATAAAATAGAAAAACAAGAACATTTCATTAAATTTGTAAGTAAGTACTGCGTTTACGTGTCATTTGTAGGCAGAGACAAAGGTTGAGACTCCTCACTGAATAGTACTATCTAAGTTCAATTTGTCGTTAATTGTGCGTTTACAAATTTGAATCGAAAATATGACAGCGCGAACCTATTGTATTGCTATATTTTAAACTTAACATTGCTTACGCTGACATTTCACATTTCCACATCACGTAGTTTCAGGAGTCGAACAGAAATGTCCACATACACACTTAGAAATCTCCACGCTCGAGTCAAAGATGTCGCAAGGTGGTGCGAACGACTGCACGAGAAGGACTACAACTAAAACCGAAGCATAAACGCACGTTCTCCTACATCTTCAAGTTGTCTTCATGATTGTTATGGGGGCGCAGTAGAACAATAGATTAACCATCTCTGTATTACCGTACCTAACCTGTAGCAATTCGTCATGTAGTTTTCTATACCTACAGTGGACGTTCATTTTACACTTTTGTTTTTATATGACCGTCAGCTGATAATATATAATTATAAAACAATAACTGATACGCCAGTCTTATCTGTACTACCGCGCATATCACCTGGCTCTCTGCAACCCCAAAGGAGTATATGTACCAAAAATAGGACACATTGCGTTACTGCTGTATGGCCATAGAACAATAGGTGGAAAAAGCATACCTGTAGCCATAACCCGACTAATGGTGTATTATCACGACAAGTGATACTCGGTACAGACGGTCTAGGACAACACGCCAGCTTAATAAATCTGTTTGCACGCAGTACAGTTTTACACACAACATATTAATTATGGTTCTTCTGAGAAGGTGTGGACCAGGCTAGACGGCTTTGTGTGGGGGTATTTATGTCCGTGTTTTTTGTTTGTTGTAGGGTGCAATTTATTATATATATTCTTCTATGCTTACAACATCGTGTATCACGTTTTTGTTAGTTTTTCCTAAAAACGTAGTAACGATTTAAAGCCCTCTTAGTTGTGTCTTTGACGTAATTGTTTTGCGAATATCACTTATTTCGCGTAGGATAATTAACGATATTAATTAATTATCAACAATTAATTATTTTTTTTCCTATTCAAAATGTTTATAAATAACGCAGAATGCTTGCAACACACGTGAATACCTAACGGAACAGGTATGTAATAGGTACACAAACATAAACCGGTAAGGACATCTTTTTCGTTTTTTTTTTTTTTTTGCTGTAAATGATACTAGGAGTAGCACCATGCTGCTATAATACCTCGGCAGAAAGAAATGAATTAAAATTGACATATCCTGCTAACGGCTGATTTACTGTTGACAAGGGAGAAAGCCTCTAGATCGTACACGACTGGGGATGTATGTTCCTGGACGTTGGTCCAATGGATATTAGAATAGGACAACCTTGGGGCAGGAAATGCTCCTTTTTCGGAATGATTTAGGGCCGTATTTATGAAACCGCTCTAATGACCTAGCGATATATAAATTTAAAAACAACCTCAAATTTTCTCAATCATTCTAGAAAAATTTGAAGAGACTTAAAGCCAATGACCGTTTTCAATATTCATGCTCGACCTTTGGTGGTAGTGTCACAGGATTAAGGTGAGATCCAAGAGAGTGGATTGAGTACAAAATCCATCCTCGAGCGTAAGAATGTGTGTGCGGTGTTTCAGGAGATTAATTATATCGTCCCGGTGTTTTAAAGTCACTTCGATAGTTTTTGTAGTCAGCTTGTATCGAATTTAAGCTTCAATGTTGTTCTTTGTGTCGATGTTCTGTTTTTCTATACATACAGTATGTATATTTCAATATATGATTAAGTATGCTTCCTTATACTATGTTTTCTTAATTCAATGGTGGTGTTACAAAGCAAAGCATGAAAATAATAATTAAAAAAATGCAAAACTGATAAAGTAGATATTTTGACAATTCACAACAGCAATTGGTACATCTGACCAGACTCGGTCTGATAGAGAACTGTACTTTAGGATAGGTTTTGACTGGCATTTGACTCAGATATCTTAACCCTACGGAGATGACTACAGTGGAAATGATGATGACTTCAAAAATCATATTTAACACCTCTGTCTCCTGAGTGAAATGATGTGATATTTAAGGATAGGCATCCTGGACCACGAATCTTACCTGTTATAATATCTTTTGTAAGGCGTTAGTATCTTAGATGTGCCTCTTACAGCGTTTCCGAGGCAGTTTTGTGTTCCTTCTGTGCTGAAGATAGTACAAGTGTACATTTTGTTTAATTTAATATTATAACGCCGTCAATAAAACGGACTTTAACGTAACATTAACATATTTATTGTTTTAAGATTGTTAATATGTTGGATTTTAATGAAGTTTTGAGTTTTGATGCATTAACTGGAGATCCAATGTTGTAAATGCATAATTCGAACACTTCAGGGAGAGTGATTTTGAATATGATATAAAACAACTGGTGTATATGCAAACCGCCATTTACCGTTTCACTGCCAAAACGATAAATTCGCATTAAGTACATATTTATTTCCAAGTTATATATTTTCTTTAGAAGTGATATAGCGTTACATCATTACATACTGAAAACTTTACTCTCGATAACGTAACTAGGCATTGTTTCGTTTATAGCGCCAGTGACGTCATGAAAAAAGCAAAATAAAGCAGGCTGAACATTTCAGAAACTAAATGCCAGCTTCTATACAGTCGTTCTGTATGTAAGGAGAAAAACTTCAAGAGCAATATCTTCCTCTTTGTGATATCATGATACTCACAGGACCAGTGCAAAAAAACGTAACGTAAATCCCCACTCGACTATTGCATTCAAAGTACGCCAGGTGGCGTCAGATTTCTAACTACGGGAAGTCAGCTATTCGCCATGATGCACAAGCTAGTTTACACAAATCCGGTTAGTTTTAAACTTATCAAATGCTGCTTGATAAAAGATACCGAAAATGATTTTTTTTGTTTTTGGATTTTGCTTTTACACATCAAATGACTATTTCGTTTATTATTTATGTTTATATTTTAAATTCCACAGAGTTGCTTATTCTAGCCAGAAAGGATGCCATATCAAATGTCGTAAAAATAATAATCGAATGTTAAAAATGATCGAGTATTTCGTTGGAGTTCGTGGTACTGTAGTAACATATGAGAATCACATATGATAAACACGATATAAACGCCATGTCGAATTTTATTGAAAGTTTTAGTTTTTTATTTCCAGCAACAAACTACAAAATATATCTTAAAATGAAAGTAAATGATAAGAAAATATGTATGTAGGTCACAGCGGATCATAGTTTTAGTTACATTACGAACGTATTAGTTTTTGTTTAAATTGTTCAGAAAATCTGAAAAAATACACAGATATCAGTTATAAAAGCCGACTGTGTATCTGCTTACTTACACAATAACTCCATTAGTACGATTGTTAGTGATTTGTATCTTCACTGTAGGAACTAGACGAGTCGGGTTCCTCACAGCATTAATTATATCGACCATGTGTTATAATTGTATGATAACAGAAAGCATCCATTTAGATAACTTATTGCCTAACCCGGTTGTTTAAAAACATATATAATCAGCAATATGACTGTCTGTAAAATTGACATATGAACCATATAGCAACACATGTTATAATCAGTGTCCATTGTAATACGGTTTGTATGTTAATTTAAATATCTAGTTCTGATACTGAAATGTTTTTTTTTAAATATAACATATCATAGCGGCCCGCTATTCGGAACATATTCTTCTTTGAATACCAATCCTTACCAAATTGAAATATGAAAATAAAATATATTTGGAGTTTAATCTATGTTGCTGTGATATGTAAAACAATACAATTAGATATTCGTCTCCAAATAAAGGCAATGTAAATGTCTTCATGGAGGTCCAAATACAGCTTAGGACAAACTGACCAATTTTATTGAAGTATTCTGTGTTTCTGCAAATAAAGAATCATAAAATCATCGTCTGAAACATGCCTTCTTATACTATGTTCCCGCTGACGTTACTGCTGGCAGATAAGGTTAACCTGTACATGATAAACTCCGAGAGATCCGTGTAGATAACTACCTATATCTAACGAGATAGCACTACGGTTCGTCTTGTATGCAACGAATGAATGGAATCCATCCGGTAAGCTCGTAAGTGGCGTTTAACATAGTCCTGTATTATGAAAGTGGCCAACCCACCTCATATAACGTCAAGACAGAAAAACCAACAACTGTCTAGTCGTTTTCTATTGGAGGATGCGCCTCACCTTTTACCTGTACCCTTTGACCCCTTTCCTTAACTTTCATCCATTCACTATAACTTTAAGAACTTAAATGTATAGTTTGTTCTTTTCTATTGATAAAGATTTTGAAAAAAATCCTGTAAAAAATAATAAGTTTGTAGTGCAAGAGTAGTAAATGTGGTGGCTGGCGTCTAATGAATATAAGGTAGACGTAGTAGTGGGTTAGTGTATCAGTCCGCTAGGAGCTCCGAGAAGGTGTACAGGTACGCTACAGGTGTATATACACAAACTAAGGCCCACCAGTATACTGTGTAGCCAATACATTTACACCAGTAATATACCTTTACGTACGTTTGGAGAGTTACCTGTGGTGTGTGGAAAACAAGATACCGTAGGCGCGGATAGCATTGCAGTGGAGCGATCGGTTCAGGGTATTACAGAGAGCAGAACCTCAGTGTGAGGCAAAACGACAGAATTTTGGACGTAAAAAGTGAAAGGCATTGCAAGTCATCACGTTATATTCTCCACTCACCAAATTGGATGAAATCATTCCTAGTGGTGCATACGGTATTCAGATGATTTAACAAAATGTAGCAAATTTTGCTAAAATGTGATTTTTATTTCGTTTTTGGATTTACGTTTTAGTGTGTGACAGTATGTGGCGTGTTTTTGTGTGTAGAATTTGACTGGCCTAAACTGCTACCATGGCGACATCGTGGATCTATTCTCTCGTCATTCTGCCATTCATGTTTGAGGTACGTATGTCAAAAAATTACATTTACGAACAGCTTTTACATTTAACTATGTCTTTATAAGAGAATTTTACAAATATTTTAAATGTTTCACTATAGGATACATACGTTGCTGCTCCTCAAATTCAATATTCACTAACCACAATATGAATAATTGCACAATACATCTCTGTGTTATTCAATTCTACTGTTCTGTGTAGTTTTATGTGTCTCATCAATCCCGTGGTAGTTTTCCTGGTTACATAAGGTGAAGAATGTCGTCTGCTCCAACATTACAATACACTCAACTCTGATATGGCTTCACAAGTATTTGTACGAAAACTACAGCACAACCATACAGGTGTAGGTTTGGTGTTGAATCGATATTACCGATGCAACGTAGATCAATTTGCAAAGCGCTAATTCTAGAAGCAAAACTCTAAAGAGTTACTTTTCTGCTTCTGTCGTGTTGACTTTTGTAAGTGAAATAACTCCGCCTGAGGTTTGATTGCGTTGCTGTCTTTTTAATGACAGAATTGCGTACATGTATTTCTTTTCGGGTGAACAAAATGATTGTATCATTTATTTCTATTTCAAACCATAGAACAGAAAACCTGAAAAAATATACGCCCAATACGTAACGTGCTATTTTCAGACAAATAAAAGATATTTTTTCCGAATTTTAATTTGACATTGGAAACCATAATATCCGCCGTGTCCTTTTAATAACATGCTTATCGAAAAAAACCATGCATACGTTATTTTCCATTCCAACTATGGAAAAAATAATATGAATATTGATGAACCCTACTCCATTTATAAAGGTTGCAATGTGCGCGTGTCATCATTAATGATACTTGTTTCCCTTCTAAAGCGATATTTTATAATCGTTTAACTGCTTGTGTTACATCAGATTCTATGCCACCATCGTATATATCCTCATAATATTAGACCAGCGTTCGATCAGATTCTATGCCACCATCGTATTTATCCTCATGATATCAGACCAGCGTTCGATCAGATTCTATGCCACCATCGTATATATCCTCATAATATCAGACCAGCGTTCGAATGTCAATCTATGCAGTCAGGGCTAAAGATATGCAGGTTGGAAAAATTCAAGGAATATTCTTTTTTATATTTAGCTGCACGTATATTGATCCTGTTGCTTTTTTATGTTCGTTTATACAATGATACCAAAATATGTCTGGTGGATGCAGCGTTTACATCGGTTTGCTGTAATGATATCCTCTAGATGTATAGTGTCGTCTTGTTCTGTTTGAAAGACATGATAGATGAGCAACAGCATGTTGTCTGCTTCTATAAACATATCGATAGGAGATTGATGGCCTCACTCAAAGGGCGGGGATAACACTGCAATTTTATTGAAAGTCGTAAATTTTACCCATTTTCATTTATGGTTCGACTTTATCTTTGTCAGTTTTAGGCTACGAATACAAATAAGGCATTAGAATGAGCCCCCGTGTTCAAGGCTGGCGATAAAAATCTACAGTGGATCTCTGTGATAATAATATCATTGTTATTAGGGCTGAGGCACGTTAAGTGCAGTTTCCGCCTTTTTGTGTTTGTGACATGCTTATCATTACATTTTTGTTAACTTTGCCTATGTATTTTGTGAGTTGTGTATAGAAGCCAATTCAGCTTAGGAAATGATGGATTCGGTTTTAAAATTCAGTTATGTTTCGAACATTGTTCCTGTCAATAGATCTGTGTGTGACCTGCCGTTGTGCATTGGATGGTATTAACGACATTTTATGTTACTCACTGAATAGTTTTACCTGATAGTGTTTAATAATGTGAGCGTCGTATCCTATTTTTAAAGTAATCAGTATTTTTTTCTGCCGGATTTTGAAAGCCTAAGCGACTCCACCCACAGATATAGATATGGACAGATTCCGACTATGTCCATCTTGTATATATACTACTATATGTAATTTGTATATATGGGTCCTTGGTAGGATGCAGCAGTTATGTTATCATAACAGCCTATGCCATTCGATATTAACAGTGGGTATGACAGAAACAGGATAGGTAGCGTTCCTTTATCTGACGAACCATTGATGCAATGGCATTCATAGTACATTATTCATTGGAGCATCCTCCCAGACTCATTGTTACTGGGAAACAGTGCAACATCTATGAATCAATCGCCATTCAAATGGTGTCGGCTAAAGTCACGAATAAACTAACCATTGCTATTAAACAGTTGTTAATACGGCGACGTAAGTTTCAGGGCGAAGAAAAAGAAAATTGAATAATGGAAGGAGCTAAAACAAAAGTACTAAATCATAACAATTGCAACAGAAAATAATAAAATAAATAAACATGACGAAATAAAAACCCAACAGAATATGGATAAGTTGGTGTCAGAAATGTGGACTAAATGGGATATAAAACTAATCAATTTCAGATATTCTCCTTTAATCCTTATTCAATTGGAGGGAAAAAAAACAATGTTTATTTTTTTCTATTAAATATTATGCGACTAGATCTGATGTGTTTAGATGATAGAGCACACATCAGCGACATACCGCCTAGTGGAACCCCGTTAATGCTAGTTTGCTAATACGATAAAATAATACCGGTATGCTAGTACTTCTGCTGCTATGTGATACCTCGCGATGTGGATGTGTTACACCGAGTACAATGTACTTAACTAACAAACATCTAACCACGCTCCTGTGAGGCTGTAAGGATGCAGATCATGTAAGTGATCGTGTATCAAATCTCCCCGGAGTCGTCATGGAAAACACTATCCAGTCTTCGAGGATGATGTTTAAAGACTCGTATATCAATGTCAGCATACCAGAAGAAAACAATCACCATTTTTGTTTTTTTAATATTTCATAAAGAAATTAAAGTAAAAGATAGAGTTTATAGGAAAGTGGTTCACTAGGAAGTGTGATCTTATATCCTCAATGCTGCTAACTGCATGTGCACTTTATGACTTTAGCCTAAACACATGCATAATTTTAACACAAAATGCATTAGAAACAATCTGGCTTGTAAAATAATACTAAGTTACAGATCAGGAAAAACGTCCATTAGCATGCACTCTCTTCTAGCTCTTAATAAACAGCTCGCGTGGAACCGAATATTAACCTTTTCATCAGCGTCATCTGCTATGCTCAACATAGTAAACATTGAATCAAATACAATTAAGCTGAACACATAACATACTACTGGAGTGAAACCCAATGGAATCCTGAAATGGTGCCGTTTTAAATTTGTGTTATAAAACACAAACTATGTGGCAAGGGTGTGAGCTATATCACACGTAAGTGAATATCCTGTCTCCGTGCCGTCAGGAGTGGTGACATAAAGACAGAGTCTACTAAATTGTTACATAGCCCTGTGCATTGCACTCTTTTTTTGCTTCACAAGATAGCAAATCGGCTTTAGTGACATAGCTCTACAATGTTTCAACTGACACAAGCAATTACGTTTGTCAATGATCATATATTCATATTTTGACCTAGTCAGTCAATCAAGTTGTTTTATACAAATCTTCTAAAATTCTTCTGTTGCTTTTGCTTAAGAATATAACGTTAAATACATTGCCAAATATACAACTAAGGTTTCATCCTTTCATAGGCAGTAATTAACTCTACATGTCAAACATTTCACGTTGCATAAAGGCAACAATGTTGCACATTTTTATTTAATAGTTATTTTTGCTTTTTGCTTTTTGCTTTTAGATTAATCACTTTTATGGTTACTGTATAGATTATATGTGCGCTCTTTATCCCTTTTCGATTGTTTGTATTATATCTACTGGAAGGTGAACATCATTTTAGTTTTGTCTTCATTTCTCTAGTTACGTCGGTATCCAGAAGCGTTTCACACATTAACTTCTCAGAACACTGCTGTCGTGTGTTGTCCTGTTGTTGTTTTATTCAGGAAGGAGGGCTTCATTTCAAAATAATCACTCTTCTATATGCACATCACGTCTGGTCGGAATGCCTGGCTACCGATACGTCTCCTTGAAATTCCACCGACTCTTTTGTGAATGAGTATACAACTGTTGTTCTTGACGATCATATCAACTCTCCTGAACAAGCTATCTTACGTTATTAATGCTCCATCTTCTAGTAACAACAACCACGCGCTATAGCCGACATATCCGTATCTCTGTTGTCTGCTGGAAGATTTACATTTCCATTTATTCTACATTCTTAAGTTGTTTGCATTTGATGATTATACGTAAGATTCTTACATAATAATAATACAAAAACTTTAAATTATATGCAATGCCTTGATGTTTTGCTGGAAGTAATAATTGTAAAATCTGAATTGTTATAACTTCTATTGAGAATTTATAAGAAATATGCAAATCGTCTTTTGCAAACGAATGTATGTCTCTGCTTCCTGTTGCGTTATAATTCGGAATACTATTTTGTAATGTACTTTATGCTATTTCTGCTTTCTTCACACGAACAGATATTGCATTTAATCCTGGTAAATGCATCTCCAGCTAGCTACCTAGACTGCTTATTAGATACAAGTTAATGACATAGCGGCGTGCTGAGCAGCCAGAACGCTGTTTGGTCTGGTTCTCTCTTAATTTACTATTGGCACAGTAATGTGGAGACCACTACAATCAACAATTGAGTTTGGTATACAAGCAGCAGACAAACGATATTTGCTTGAGGAACAGCAAACAGATAGAGTTTCATTAGCCAGAATAACAATACCGTCTAGATAGGTGCTGTGTTGCGTAAACACGGTTTAATTTGTAAAATGGTATTTACACACTACAAAGAGACATTTCATTGTTGATATAGCAGCCGGGTTGCCAACAACCTATAGTGTGATAGCCTAACTCATTTCAGAGTTAAGTGATTGTTTTTTCGGTGCCAGGTATATTTACCGATATATAAGTTTGTATATAAACAAAAACTAGTAACAATTTTGTTAACGGTTGTCCTAACGAGACAACTTATATTTTCCCTATAAAGTGAAATACTTGTATTAAACCTGATATGGCGTGGCAGGCATATACA